GGCTGGCTTGCTGGCTGGGTGGCTTGCTGGCTGGCTTGCTTGCTGCTTGCTTGCTGCTTGCTTGCTGCTTGCTTGCTTGCTTCTTGCCTGCTGCTTGCTGCTACTTGCTGCTGCTTGCTGCTGCTTGCTGCTGCTTGCTGCTGCTTGCTTGCCTGGGTGGATAGGACAACAAACTTTCTGAGAGCTGCCCACGACCTTGATGCACATTGCGCCAGCCATAGGTTTGGCTGCGGAAAACAAAGGGCCTCCATATCCTTATATCATGCTAGATCATAGCCCTGCCAATAGGATTTGCTACAGCTAACCCATTTGCACTGCAAGAAAATTGAGGCTGTACCAATAGGGGTTTGATGTGGTCGCGCGACGCAGGACATCAATATAATATTTTCAAATCCAATAGGAATAGCTGCCGAGAATTTGTTGAGGTTGTTCCAGCATATTTAACATTTAGCTTACATGGGGGAAACGTCCCTTTGGTCATTCCTCTTACATACCTCTTTTGGATGGGAGAGACATTCGTTTTCTTTATTTGATGCTTTGGGATGAAGAAGGGGTGCGGTGGCGCAGGGAGTTCCGCACTTCATGTTGTGGTCAGTGATGGCCCTGGGTCCTGCGCTTGACAACTCATGAATCAGGGGTCGTTCGGGGGGTCGTTCGGGGGTCGTTCGGGGGGTCGTTCGGTTGTATTTTCAGCACTTGTTTTCATTTGTGTTCTTTGTTTGTTCCTTTTTTTATCTTCTTCCCTTTCTTTCTCACAGACTGTTACTTCTTCTCTTTTCATTGTTTCCTTCGTTCACTCAGTCTTACTCCTTCTCAAATCAAACCATTGTGGCAGAATGATTGTTTGTAATGCAAAGCAGTGCTGGCAGAAGAGTAGTCTGCAGTGCGATGGGTGGGCTCTCTCGTGTTTGTTATAATGGTACTTTGTATCCTTCAAATGAAGGCAATCCCCTTGTGTTTTGATGGATTGCTGTGACCCTGCTGTGACCCGGTCGTGGCGACTTTTCCGCAAGCGGTTTGTCCACATTCAAGAAAATTGCTCTGACTTCAGCCCCCGACTGTAGTGTTTTGCGACTTGAATATCTTTTCGCGCACCTGCATCTTCTTTCTTCTGATTCTTTCTCTTCTCTGATCTTCTTTCTGCTGCTGTTCTCTTCGCTGACTCTTACCACCTCTGCTTTTCCGTCTGTCCATATTGTCGACTATTGTCGGAAGTTTGACTTCTAAACTTCCTTCGAATATATTTTTTTCTAAAATTGATTAGATGTCCTTTTAAAATCTATTTAAAATATATTAAGATATTGCCAAATTGGATTTCGAAGCTTCTCCCCTAATATTAAGTTAACCACCCTAATATATAGATTGGGACGTCTTATAAGAAGATTTTTATCTGCTTATGACACCTCAAAATCAGGGATTTTCCTCAAATAAGACCCTACCAAAAATGACCTGCCCCAAAACTGACCCAGTAGTAAGCAGATTCCAGGAATTTGGGAAAAGTGGTGCAATTGTGAATCTGCTTCTTACAGGTCAATCCCAAAAGGTGGATTGTTTTTTTCTTCTAAATATGTAATTATAATTATATGTACTATATATATATATATGTGTGTGTGTGGTGATAGTCCGCGATTTTATACAGCCTCTTGCAAATGAATGGTGATGGCCCTGCAGTCACTGAAAACAATGAGAAAATGATGAACAACTATGTAAAAAACAATGAAAACAATGAGAAAATGATGAAAAACTATGAAAAAAACAATGAAAACAATGAGAAAATGATGAAACACAATGTAAAAAACAATGAACACAATGAGAAAATGATGAACCACTATGTAAAAAACAATGAAACCAATGAGAAAATCATGAAAGACTATGTAAAAAACAATGAAAACAATGAGAAAATGATGAACAACTATGAAAGAAACAATGAAAACAATGAGAAAATGATGAAAAACCATGAAACAACAATGAAAACAGTGAGACAATGATGAAAAGCTATTAAAAAAACAATGAAAACAATGAGAAAATGATGAAAAACTATGAAAACAACAATGAAAACAACGAGAAAATAATGAAACACTATGTAAAAAACAATGAAAACAATGAGAAAATGATGAAAAACTATGAAAAAAACAATGAAAACAATGAGAAAATGATGAAACACAATGTAAAAAACAATGAACACAATGAGAAAATGATGAACCACTATGTAAAAAACAATGAAAACAATGAGAAAATCATGAAAGACTATGTAAAAAACAATGAGAAAATGATGAACAACTATGAAAGAAACAATGAAAACAATGAGAAAATGATGAAAAACCATGAAACAACAATGAAAACAGTGAGACAATGATGAAAAACTATGGGAAAAACAATGAAAACAATGAGAAAATGATGAAAAACTATGGGAAAAAACAATGAAAACAATGAGAAAATAATGAAAAGGTCTGGCTCGAGGACTTCGACCCATCCACCCGGGGTACTACAACGGGCACTACAACGGGGTACCACAACGGGAAACATAATGGAAAAACGAAAAATGGAAAAAATGAAAAAGTCATATCTATAATTTTTAAAGTTGTTAAATTGCTTTAAAACATTGTTTTTTACATAGCCTTTCATGATTTTCTCATTGTTTTCATTGTTTTTTACATAGTCTTTCATGATTTTCTCATTGTTTTCATTGTTTTTTACATAGTGGTTCATCATTTTCTCATTGTGTTCATTGTTTTTTTTCATAGTGTTTCATGATTTTCTCATTGTGTTCATTGTTTTTTTCATAGTTTTTCATCATTTTCTCATTGTTTTCATTGTTTTTTACATAGTTTTTCATCATTTTCTCATTGTTTTCATGGTTTTTTACATAGTTTTTCATCATTTTCTCATTGTTTTCATTTTTTTACATAGTTTTTTATCATTTTCTCAATGTTTGAAATAAAATGGTGTCAAAACATTCAAGACCTGTAACTAGCAGATTGTCAATCTGCTTATTACCCCCCATTTGATAGGAGCACACTATCAGGTGTTCAAAGGACAGTGTTCAAAGAAACTGAAAGGACCTGTAATAAGCAGATTAACAATCTGCTTGTCACACCCCACATGATCGCCATGGTAGATAAGAAGGCTCCAACACAACAGAGCATATTATGGGCAAAATCCAAAAGACCACCAAAATGGACATAAATGGACAACTTTAAAAACATACATACATAAATATATATATATATGATATATGTGTGTGTGTCTATTTTTTGTTTATATTTTCTTTGCAAGGGTCAAGTCCCATTTTTTTGGGATGTCAGGAAAATATGTGGACTTGCGAAAACAACACAAAAGCTCGGGCATCTCACTCAGATATGCTAGATGAGGGCACATGCCGGTTCACCGATGTTGAAGCCTTCATTGACTCTGATAAATTCCAGGGCGTAGCCCAATAAATTCCAGGGCGCAGGCGTAGCCCAATAAAATCTGCACGGTAACAATTACCTCAGTAGAAAATTAAACTGTAATAAGCAGATTTTGGATCTTTGGGGTATAAATGCATTTTGGACTGTAATAAGCAGATAAACCTCACGAGTGGTGAGGGTTTTGAGCAATCTGCTTGTCTGCTGGCAGTGGCATAAATCTGCTTCTTGGGTGTCCCCGTCTATATTTTTTTGCGACCTTAAAAGACGGACCCTAATAAAAAACACCCCGGGGCTGACTAGTTTTTATTATTAGGGGTGAAACCCTGAAATGGTAGCGGCTTCATCTTTAAATTGTTTTCTAAAGGGGATCAATTAAAAATCAAATTTTCCAACATTCGAGACGGACCCTCGTTTTTATTATTTGGGGGAGGTTTAGTAATAGACGCTATGCAGGTTCCTCTTGCGCTCGCAACAGATCCTGGTTGCTACACCGGGGGAGTTCTTCTTGCACTTGCAACACGTCCTTCATGCTACGTCGTGGCAGTTCCTCTTGCGCTTGCAACACGTCCGTCATGCTATAGCTATGCTCCGCTGGGGAAGTTCCTCTTGCACTTGCCACACATCATTCATGCTACGCCAAAGAAGCCCCTTTTGTACTTGCAACGCGTATTTCATGCTGCGCTATGGGTGTTTCTCGTTCTTGGGGATGGAACTAGACTGGTTGGGTTGGAAGTTTTAATTTGAAACGGCTCCCCTGATTGACAGGACATGGTTGGCACACAGAACCTGGTTGGGACGCAGGTGCCGGGTAATTAAGTATCAGATTGCAAGGCCACAGAACAAAGGATCCTACTTTGGAAACATTGATCTTCCAGCTTGTGTTGCGTCAAGGTGTGTTGCGGCAAACCCATAGGTTACTATGTCAGCGGTGGCAAGACTTTTGACAAGCTTGTTTCCGCCGTCAAAAGAAAACACGGTGACATCTGACTTCATGTCTTTAATTGGTGGCTAAGAAAGACAAAAATTGAACGCTGTTCTATTGGTTTATTAAATGATGACCGTATTGGCCCCAATGGCCTTTCGGTTATCGATCAGCAACCTGGCTTACTCTGAGCCTGGCTCTCCGTTTCCGGACTGCAGAGAGGGATTAACTGACCGCCTGTCTAACTCGGTGTTGCTCCCGGGTATCGAGCCCAGGACCGGTCGGAAGAGGGATGCCGCCATAACCACCGAGCTATTACCGGACCCCGTATTGGCCCCAATGGAACTATCCGCATGCATGCGCCAACAAACCACCTGCAAAGAAATACTTGGAATTGCGTACTTCCAGACGCATGAAGTGATTGAAGAAACTATTTGGCTGTGGCGGTGAGCCTAGTTTGAGACAGTTGTTCTTCCTTTCTGTGCTAGAGTGGGGACCACCCACAAGCCCACCCATGCCCCTGCCCGGCCTGCCTGACCGGGTTCTTGAAACTAGCTCCCAGGCGAGCCATGAACCCATCAGGATAGCTATGAACACATCAGGATTTCCAGCTCAGCATGTCTCAATTGATTCGATATGGTTTGCCACTCCCGTATGGGTTTGCCAAGGTTTAGCGCATTCGTATTGGTTGGCCGTTGTGACGATGACAAGTGTGGGGTTTGGGGATTACACCCCGAAGACCGCATGGGGCTTCATCATCGTGTTGCTTCGGTTGCACGTGGTTGGGCGCTACAGATGCAGCGCTTCAGTAGCAAGCAGGGCAAAAAAACATGCAGTTAATTTGCCTTTTAACCTGAGGGGAGTTCTCACTTTGATCAGCACCTTATTTCTGGCCATGCCAGTTGCTTGGCTGAAGTGGAAGCTTGCTGGTGTCGTCGAAGATTTTTGGACTTCTCAATTTCTCGGGATGTAGATTTTCTTTTTGAGGGCGGCCTACAGCCTTGCCGTTGTATCCGCTAGCGGGTGAGGTTGGCATTCTTGGCCAAGAGTTTTCCAACTCATGGGAGAGGAGGAACTATGTCATTTTAATTGCTCGGCTACGGAAATGCTTGCTGAAGTTGGGCATCGGAGCCAAAGATGTCAGCTGGCCTAAAACATTAATTGGGTTTGGGCGGTCAATGTCCAGGTATCTGAGCCGAACTTGTTGGGTCCTTTGTGTCGTCATTTCAACTGGTTGTATGCTGCATTTAATTATTCCCACCGGCCTGGCCTAAGCCAGTTTGTGTTCTCCCTCCCAGTGTCTCCTGTGCTAACAAAAGCAGGTGCTTCATTCCAGCAATACGCGCAATCCATTACTTCAGTCCCTTCATTCTGCCACCGGTTTGTTTTGCTCCATAATATCTGTATACAAGTATATCTATATTAATATAAACTATATATATATATATACACACACCACACACACATATATATATATGTATATATAGTACACAATATGAATGAATATGCATTCAGTCATACATACATACATGCATGCATATATACATGCATATAAAAATACATACATACATGCATACATAAATATTTACGCGCAAGAAAGGTTAGATAGATAGATAGATAGATAGACAGATAGATAGGTAGATAGGATAGGATAGATTTAGATTAGATGAGATTAGATTAGACAGAGGGATGGATAGATTAGGTAGATAGACAGACAGATAGATAGACAGACAGATAGATAGATAGACAGACAGACAGATTAGATATGTAAATATGTCGTTATATGTACATATCAATACACATGTATGATCATGTATGTATCCATTTGTGCCTGTGCCTGTATATGTATGTGTATTCATGTATATATATTAAAGTACATATATATATATATATGTATACACGTGGTTTTATGTTCTTATATGTATGTTTGTATATATATATGTGTATGTAATGTATGAATGTATGTATGTATGTATCTATGTATGTATGTATGTATGTATGGATGTATGTATGTATGTATGTATGTATGTATGTAATGTATGTATGTATGTATGTATGTAATGTATGTATGTTATGTAATGTAATGTAATGTAACGTAACGTAACGTAACGTAACGTAATGTAATGCAAGTATGTATGTATGTAATGTAATGTGATGTAATGTAATGTAATGTAATGTAAAGTAATGTATGTAAATATGTAAATGTATGTAAATATGTTAGTATATGTACATGTCAAGATACATGCATGACCACGTATGTATGAATTTGTGTCTATGTCTGTATATGTATTTGTATATATATATATACATATTAATGTACATTTTTTTTTTATATGGTTTTATGTTCTTATATGTATGTATGTAAAAATATATATGTATGTATGTAATGTAATGTAATGTAATGTAATGTATGTATGTATTTATGTATGTATGTATGCATGCATGCATGCATGCAAGTATATATATATATATATATTTGTATAAACATATATATATATATTTATGTAAATCAATGTTTTCATTTGTTGATATACGTATATACACATATATCTATATACATAAGGTTGTTTTCTACAACATATGTATATGTTTTTTCTACGTATATGTAAATATAACAATGTATATATATATATATATATTTGTATTTGTGTATTTGACATGTTGTAACGGGGTTTTATGTCCAACTATATCTATATGTGTATTTGTATATTTGATTCACAGTTCGGGTTATTCTGTGTCCCTCCCTATACTGTGAGGATGCCCTATCAACATATTTTTTAAAATCAGTTTTTCGTATGAATTTATCTTTTGCTTTGTCGATTCTTATTTGGTCTGATCGCGTGTCGTTTCGTTTTTGATGTTTCCCACTGACCTCGCCTATCCTACTCATCACTTATTCCATTGCTGGTTTTGTCCCGTCTAATGAATTTGACGGTTTTAGAAGGATGAACATGCAACCCAGCAAATGGAGAACAGATTTGGTGTTGGTTTGGTCGCATCCGTCAAACATGGGTGATGTGAAACAATTTGGCCCGCAACATTTTACCCGACGCCTCACATGGAACCACGTATCATCACTGCCTGGATGAAGGTAAGCGAGGAGTGATGCTTTGATGGTTTCACCTTGTTGGGCATGTTGTTGCATTCTCTTGGCAAGGGGAGTGGATTTCCAAATCTTGACCGACTCAAACTCTAACGTGAAACCATTTGAAATAAAAAATCAATGTCCAGTCTGTGCATTTTTTTTGGTGTGTCGGACTTGGATTTTCAGAGCCATCATGAGCCATCAAATCGCTCAGTTGCGGGTACTTTTCGAATACATCGACGTTGACGGGGACGGCATAATCTCTTTCTTCGAATTCATTCAGTTGCTCGGCATGACAGATGCAACATGATGTAGGCAGAATTCAATCCCACGGAGGGTTCATTCTTGCTGCCTTTGCCATTCAAAGTTTCTGCTTTGATTCAGGTTGATTCATCAATTGCGCCTTGGATTTGCAATTGCCCCTTGGCCCAAAGAGAGCAGATTAAGTTGTGTCGGCAAGCACAAGCAAGCACCAGCAGGCTAAGAGATGCCCAAAACCGGAAAACCATGGAACACCAAGGAAAACGCAGTGGAAATATTCAATCTGTGCCTTAGCTTGCATGACCTTATGCCTTAGTTTGCATGACTTCTTGCAATTTTGGTTGTTTGAATCAGGGTTGGATTGAACATGTTCCCCTGCGCTGAGAAACGCTGACAGAACTGACATCTGGTGAAAAAGTAGGGAGTTTGCCTGCTCCATGAGGTTTGATGACGACCGAAACGCCCAGATTGATTACATCGAGTCGCTTGGAAATGGCCATATGAACATATGAAATATTCACCTCAAGACTCCAGGCACAAACATTGGAGACGTCCACCCTGACATGGCCGAGTCTGGTTTTATTATTTCTTACTCTGTCCTTGTCCGTTGCGCCTCTTTCAAGGGTTTTTTTCTCTGGTGTTGAAAGGGCAAAGCGGCAAGAACACTTAAGAGGAGTAGGAACTAGTGAACTAGTAGCTCGACAGCCAGTTGAGCATGGAAGTGAGCCTTGTGATGTATCAGGATATATTTGCAATGCCTGCCCTAGAACCCTGCTTTGTGAGACTGTCATTCTCGCAAAGGTTCTTGCGGCACATTTTCCCTCACGAGAGCCAAGAGGATTGTGATGGATTTTTGTACCCTCCATGGAAGTGTTTTGAACATCTATTGGGCATCAGACTGGGTACCGATTCAGTGTTCACACCACTCCAGACTGATCGAGACACACAACTACTTGGCAAGCATGCTGCACATCCATTTGACATATTGCACAACGCCTTTGGACTTTGGAGGATAAAGAACGAACGAGGGAAGTGATGCATAAATCAGAACTACGAGCTTCTCAGCAGAAGCAGTGTTGGGTAGCACACGGAGACAATATGAGACGGTTATTGTATGTTATTGTCATGAAACATATGAAACAATGCTTTGGCAAACTCACCTTGAAATCCAAGGTCTCTGCGGCGCTCGAGCGGCTTTCAGACGCAAAGAGTTCCAGCCACGAAGGAAGCGGAGCCTTGGACATGGTAACTGGGAAAGAAGGGGCAAGCGCCAAGTCGCGTCTCAGAGGATATGAAGGGTTTCCATGGGTTTCCAATTAAGTCAAGTCTTTTCATCCGAGGGAAATGGCAGCCTTTTCTCACAGGATAAATGATTCGGATCATGGTGCCTGACAGTCATCACGGCTGTGAGTTGCTATGTGCTGCTTTATTCGAGATTCCGTCAAAAAATATGTTCAGTTCACATGTGCTGGAGTGAGCCTCGGGGGTTGATTTTTGCATGACGCCTCTTACAGCAATACTGGTAGCGGATTCACAAGAAAGCTAGGTTTTGCATTGCGCTTGCTGCATTTGTTGCTTAAGTCACGGAGGTATATAGAGGTTGGATACGTGTTTTTGATTATTTTTGTGCAACCATCATAGAGATCCGGAATATTCAATTGATGAGGCGATGTGTGGTGTGCCATAAGTGCTACGCCTGCCACACAGAAGTGACGTTGATGCCACCAAGCGCCACGCCTGTCACCAGTCGCCGTGAACAAACAGTCTATCGGCAAAACACGTAGCTTTACAAAGGAGCCGTCTCTTCTCCTATCACACATGCACACGCTGGACGAGGCGACCGAAATCCCCTTGTGTCGTGCTTAAGCCGGGTCGGCTTTAGATGGGTGGGTCGAATTTACCATGAATCCGTGTGCCCATGCGGTGGGTTGACTTTACGCTAGGTGGGGTGACTTCACCTCGACCCCGAGTATAGCTCAGCATCTAATCGCAGGCAGCGCAGGCATGCTTGAGTGGCTAACTCCATGTCTTCTTTCTGCCAGGCATACGAGAGAGCTTTTGATCAGGTCAGCTGCAAGACGACATAGACACCAACCAGGTCTTCCAAGGCAGCAAGTCAACCTGGGTGACTTGCACGGAGCCCATGCAGAACGACATCCAAAACGCCTCCCGAAACTTTCCCCCAAAAAACGTCCTGGGTGAGCAACTGGTCACAAAGCAGACCGCACAAGTGGTCGTAGCGACGGAATGAAATTTGGCGGGGGTTGGACGATCCTTGAAATGCGCTGATAAAAGTGGCCGTAGCGCATTCATTTCTTTCCAAGCACACACTCAGGGATCACCCAAGCAGCATGGAGGAGACATGTTGAGAAACAGAAGCGACAAAAAACACGAAACGCATACTGAACCTGCGAACCAGAGTTTGGAACCCTTTGTGAAAGCAGAAACCTGCTGAAAGACATGCAAACAAAGACTGTCGCAGATGAAGATCTAAATTGATCCGAAGTGTTCCATGCAGCCAGGACAAGGACAATGAAAGCGTGTAACACGATAAAAGTCTCACTAATTTCATGATGCGCTCTGGTGAACGACCGCGTCTCATATTGTCGTGTTGTGGTGTGAATTCTTTGATCCCGGGGCAGGCTGAAAACTTGTGATTTACAGTAGCTCGCCATAACCCACTGGATGAGGTGACATCTAACGCAGCCGTTTGACCACTGGGGTTTTGGCTTCCCTGCCCAGGACATCTCAAAATCGTTCAGAAGTTGTGAATGACCTCGTTGACAAAATGCGAAGAACATGAGCTTGCGGTTTGGTTTTAATGCAGAGGGGCTGAACCGTCTTTTTGAGTTTCAAAGCGGCTGAAGCCCTCCTTTGAGACCTCGCGGTTTTGATGCCCCGTGCCCCGAAGGGGTGCAGTCGATACTGGAAATGCAGCAGGAAACATCGCATGACCGCTGGCATTCTGCAAGTTGATTCTGGACATTGCAGGACCGTCTGGACCCAGCAGCTAGTGCAACACATGTCATAATAGTATGTAATGAACCAGTAACCAGGCCTTTCAATGGGGAGGCTTTGCAGCTGGCAAGCTGTTCACGAATCCTTGATTTTAATTTGGTGCCATGTTGCTCCACTTTCCATCTCTGCGGGATTCAGAATTGGCTCACGAGGTGTTTCTGTATATGCGCAGAGGTAGTATATGGACAACGCAAGAGAATGGCCACAACAGCATCGCTGCCAAGCCAGCAATCGAAGATCAAGTGAATCAAGTGAAACCATGACGCAACCCCTTGTATTTCCTGCCAATTTCGTCACGCCTGGCTTGGTGCCATGGCTTGGGGGCTTGGAGTTTCTAAAACGCAGAACATTGGTCCACCTGGGTGAAAAAAACATGAAAACACATTTATCGTCATTTATCAGCTTGGGAACATGGGAACATAATTAGTGTGTTGAGGTTTGCAAACTCTATGGAAGATGAAGATGCTGCAGAGGTCCTTGGGATCACGGGGCATTTTGATGGACCTCACTTTGCAGCGGTGAAAGTGGGTGTATATTGTTATATATTGTTTTGGTTGGCTGCTGCCACGGAAAGAATGGCTAGGCTATATACATGAAACACTTTTCTCCGGTTTCCTGCACCTTGGCATGCCTGATAGCTGCCATTGTTGACTTACGATTGTTGGGGGCCTATCATGGAGCCATAATGCATTGTCAGGCCAAGCAGGACCAGAAGCAGAAGGAGAAGCATGGGAAGGCAAAACAAAAGAAAGCTGGGAATCCCAGAGTGGGTTGGATCTCAGGGTGACAGAGCGTAGGGATCGTAGGCGAAATTGTTCCAGGATTGCCTTCTTGAGAGTTTTGGTTTTGCTTCATTTGAGGCGTGGGAACCCCCACCATTCAAGGCGCATTCTGGCCACACGTGGGAACTTTGGCCTTTGCATGTTTCATACATACTTAGACCATCCTAGACTTATTCAATCTTATTCATTAAATATAAGTACATCTTCCACGTTTACATTAAATGCATATTTGCAGATATGAGCGCTCGATTATCACACCCTCTTTAGAGCATCTGTGTTGGATACGGGTTTTGTCCCACGCAGGTTCGGCCTCGTTTCTGTCCGGGGGACAGCTCAGTAGCAGGGCTGCCAGATAGGCAAGAGAATGAGCTGCAGCCCTAGCTGGGAAGAATTGTTAAATGGGTAAGTTCCCAAAATCAGACACATTCCTGAAGCCTGCGAGCGCAATACATTAAGTGCATTCAAGTGCAACATGTTTCATGAGGCATCTTGTTCGCCAGCATTGCCAGGGGTTCTTTAAATTCTATTGCGCAATTGATCCGGCAATCTCCGGTCCGCAGTGCTGTCAATCAAACGGGAGAGTCAGCTGGAGCTTCCTGTGCAAGGCAGCAGTGCATGGAATTTGACACTTGGCCTTGGTCTCGCAGTCTCGCCCTGACTTCGAGCCATTTATTGTCAACTTGGCTTGTCATTGTGAGTTGCAGCTAGTTGGGGCTGTGGCACAGGCTCATGGCGCGAACTGGACAGCAGAAATCGCGCCTTGGAAATTGGAAGCCACCAAATCGGACTGGATCAACTGACGCCCGCGAATGCACCTGGAGTACTGGAGGCATATGACGCCATTATTGTTGATTTGCAATTGGTTGACGAGGTGCCCAAGGTGAAGGTAAAGTGCAATGTTGCTACCCCCTTGTAATCAACGAGCAGCTTTCGAGCAGCATCCACCTTCATAAGCACGCACGTACGCACGCATAAATATGATGAGACTTAGGACTTAGATGGACTTAGTGCCCTTCATTATTGCAAGGTATTTGCAGACATAGGTGTGAAGCAAATGAACAAATGGATGGACAGGCACTGATGGATGGAAAACGGAATGCATGGAAAAAAATGGATCGATTTTATTATGGATAGATCGATCATGTCCACTCTGACGAATATCTTCCCTGAACAATTATGAGGCCATGAATCATGCAGCGGCCAAACAAGCTTCTTGGGACGCCCAACATGGAGTCAGGAACAGCGAGAAATGTATTCATGGAAAGCTTTCCAGGAATGGAGATTGCTATTGTTGCGAATTTAGACTTGATTCGAAGTTGACTCCGGCTTAGTTTGATTTGAGTCTGAACTATATAAATTTGAATCAAGCTTGACTTGAAGTTTAAGTGACCTACAGTATACGCCTGAGTTTTAATTGAGATGATTGTAAGTAATCGGAGCTGAAATTAGATGGGAAATGGCTCTAAGCACTAGTCTTTGAAGTGGAATCTAAACTAGCTTGAAACTGAATTAGAGTTTACTTATTTACTTTTTGTTTAAACAGAAGGTCCGAAAATTGGGGAACTTTTTTCTGTAGGGGTCAAGCAATGCTATCCGCTCGTCTGTAGGCCTACCCCGTTTGCGAGTTTGCTGGGAGGCATTTTTGACAATATTCCAAGACTCAAGATGCGGTTTACTAGTCTGTCCCAGGATTTGGCGTACTTTGATGCCGTGGGGTTGACTAATCCGATGTGACCATTGGACAGATGGACAAACAGGCAAGCAGACAGACAGATTGATAGACAAATATGTAGGCAGGGCGCTAGATTGATTGGATTGGATAAATGGCTTGGATTAAAGATTAGATTAGATTATATAGAATAGATTTGATTTGATTAGACCAGATTAGATAGATTAGGCAGACAGATAGATAGACAGATCGATAATTAGATAGATATATAGATGTTTACATGGATGCGTCTATAGATGGATAATATGGATAGATGGATAGATCGGTACTTGTAGATAGGTGGATAGATGGGTAGATAGATAGGTAGATAGGGAGATTGGTAGATAGCTGAAATAGGTTACTGTAGATAGGTTGGATGGATGGATGAATGGATGGATGGATGGAGAGATAGAGAGACAGAGAGATAGAGAGATAGAGATATAGAGAGATAGAGAGATAGATAGAGAGATAGATAGAGAGATAGAGAGATACAGAGATAGAGTAACATTGTTATTCGCGAAGAATGGCCGTTTGCGGATAAAGGATTTTTGATCAACCATCACATAGACGGACAAGGCGGGATAGACATGCAGAAAGACAGGGGGAGGGAAGGAAAAGAAGAGAAGAGAAGCGAAGCGCAGCGAAGCGAAGCGAAGGGAAGAGAAGAGACGCGATGAGACCAGAGTAGAGGGAAAATATAGAGAGAGTAGAGAGGCACAGAGACACAGGGACAGACAGATTTATGTGGATATGGGTTTTGACTTGACCTAGACATTTGCTCAAACAGATGCCTAGGGCACGCGAAAGGATGCGAAGTATGTAATGCATTGTCATGCATCCAATATCATCCAATGCAGGTTCACATTTGCCCACCAGCGCGCAACCTGTGCTTGAATATGCTAAAAAATGCATCTAGGCCTAGAGGCATGGTGTGCTTCTAGTGCTTCTAGTGCTTCCGGTGTCAGAGAGTGTCAGAGTGTGAGCCACTTTCCTTCTGAGGCTCCGATTCATTCTTGCCCTCGTGGTGGGCTTCTGTCTTCATAGTTGGGGGCCAAGCTCCAAATTGAGTGCAGCAAGGTGCCATGACCGACCTGCCCTAGATGTGATCTCTGCTCGAAACTGCAACCAAGGAGCCTTTGTTGGACCAAACGGAGGAGCCACGCCAGAATGGTTCTAACAATTTCTCACATGTTCTGGTGTGCAATTTTAGCTCAAACGAACTAAACCATCTAAATCCCACATGTATGATGTGTGCGACAGATTTAAGCGAGCGTTCACACATGGAAAATCTGCCAGTCACGTTGGTAAGGAACTTTGGCTGCACCCCTTGGCAGGACATGAAGTCAGCAAAATTCCTCGAAGTGCTTCCAGTGGCAAGGTCAACGTTGACAAAAGCCAGGACCATGTTCGCCATCGAGTCACGATCATGTCACGATCAAGTTCTGAATCAAACATTTTTATATGAGATGATTTATGGTGGGCCAATTGTGGGCCATCAAGGGTCAAAATTCGGGCACCAATGGGCTCCCCAAACAATTTTCATTTCAGCATTAGGCGCTGCGGTCTTTTTTGATTGTGACGCGAATGAACAACTTTCGTGTCAATTTTGCGGCAATTGGATTCGCGTTCACTTGTTTGTTTCACTAATTGGATTGGATACTTGTTCATCGTGTCATTTGTCCAAAGTCAAGACTCCTACCGACCAATTGTTTCAGGATCGAAATCTTCTTTTTTGGCATTTCCGAAGCTAGACATCTTTGACATACAGAGATTCTTCACATGTGCCATCCAGATTCAATGTTCAATGCATTTATACTTAAGCCTCAAACACGAAATCGGGAATGAGGTCAAAAGGCCATCGGAGACCGCAATGTTGGGCCTGTGGTAGTTAAGAAACCAACACGTTGATGGTTCAAACAGAAAGTAGGCATCTTAATAGAAATGGACCCCCCCACGAAACTAAAGAAATGGATGCTGACGGGATCATGCTTTTATCGACAAATCCAACAAGAACGACTATTCTTGTGGCGTAACATGTAGCGGATGTTGTTCATTGTTATTCCATCACTTCCCAACACCAACCCCAAACCCGATCTCAAACCCAATGAAAACCGGGAAACATCTACTGTAGCGGGGAACATGTAGCGGGGAACATGTGGCGGATTTTTTTTTCCCTCCACCCCTGCAACCCCGGGCCCTGACCCTACCCAAACTACAAATACGTATAAATACATGCAAATGAATGCAAATGATGCCTCCGTAGTGAATGTGCAAAATTAGCATTTTATCCTATGGTCCATAAAGACTGCGGTACCTTTAGTATTGAACTATATTGAACTATTGTTTTTTTTTTGCCATACTTACCCAGGCTCTATTTACCCTGATTGGCTCACGGAGCAACCAGCCTCAGGACTTGCGCGACTTTCTCCTGGGGGGTGTTGTTCCAACTCCAAGCAGCGAACCTCCAAGCAGCTCAACACCCAAGGCAACACCCAAGGCAACACCGGAGGCAACCACGAAGGCAACCACGAAGGCAACCGCGAAGGCAACACCGAAGGCAACACCGAAGGCCACACCGAAGGCACAATCCATTGGAGAAACTTCAAACTGCATGACATCAATTGAGATCAACTTGCATCAACGAGCATCAATGTGATTAATTATATAGTAGATCTGTGCATGCCTTGCATCCAAGTCGTCAATGACCCTCAGGTAGCTGCTTCATCGACAAAGAGTGCAAAGAAGACATGGGATGTGCCTGCCCTTGCCTCGGCATCCGCTGCGCTTGCTTCATGATGTGCTGGCACAAACATAGTGCCGTGAGAGTTGTATCATTGGAATCATGTTAAGTCATGCCAATCTCAATGCCACCCCGAGGATGAATAAAGTCACCAGTTGGTGGAAGTGGGGGCTATTTATATATATATATACACACACATATATATATATAGATAGTTATATTCATCCCAGGTGTATTTATTGTGTGTTACTGTTATTGGCATCAAATGTTTTGGGGTTTCCTGAAATGGGTAAATCCCCAAAACTATAGGTTTCAGTACTAAAACAGTTTATTTTTGGATGGTTTATGAAACCTTGTCCACATGCTGGTGATAAACTCCCAGGTTTTGGAGTGCGACGAGGGCTGCATTACGGCCATCGAGAGCTGCTTAGAGGACGGATGCAGCGTGGAAGCCATGATGAAGCTGGATGCTGCCATTGCGAAAGACGAAAAAGCCATCAAGGCAAGGATGGAAACATTTTACAATATCTCAAAATATTTCACATGATGATAAAGATCATATAAAGATCATATGACATGATCATCATGATCCACACCCTTTCACCCATATTGGATGGACCGGGGACCCTGTCCTTGCCAGGCAAAGCTTAAGGGAAAAGAGGCGGGCCTTTGACGGGCGTGCATTTTTCATCATTTTCTAAGATCACATGCACTTGATCGCAGTGGTGTTTTCTAAGTCAGCATGGTGGAGTGCTTTCCATCGGATTTACTGTGACCAGGATGCTTGGCTCGAAAATTTTCTTCAGCGATCTGGGGCACTTCGAGCTCAGCTTGCAACGATGGTGAACAGGCAAGACAGGGCAAACCATTTTTTTGGAGTAGACCCGCTGCTCATCATGTTCATGTGCATGTCCTGAATTCAAAGGCGATAGCAGTGGAGAAAGCCAGAGTTGCTAAGACTGATTTGGACCGCAGTACCATGGAATACCTGAATTGTCAACACCTATCGTGACTTGCTACCTGCAAAACTCAGTGGAACTCCATTTCAATCACGAAACAGAAAAGGAAGCTCGAAAGGGGAAATCCTCCTTTCATCTCTTATATTCATCTCTTATATTCTCCTATTATTAATACCATATCTATCCACATCTTAATTTTTGGGTGAAACCTGCAGAGTTGATCCCCATTTTGAAGCTATGTGGCAGGAAGACTTCCGAGCCTTGGATGGCACAACTCATCAAGGTGCCGTTGCTGGCTTCAACATGTTTCAAACTCGCTGCTTGATGTAGCGTTTGCATGCGTCTGCACCATGAAAATCGATAAAAATCGTGCGTAATGCACACCACGCCTACGTTCGAACGCCGTGACGTTGATGGAAACATTGCAACGCTTCGCAGCGGAGGCCGCATCTTTGGCATTCAAGACCAGCAGAGAGGGGGACTACCCCAAGGCCATCAGTCCAAGGGAGAATGCCAGGAACGTGCTTCACAATTTCATCATATTTCAGCACTATTTTGATCTCACTTTCAAATTTGAAGGGAATATAGGAGTAGAAGAATCTAGCCCTGGTTTGATGTATAGATGGTACCACAACTGCAACGCCAGCAAGTTCCAGTATTTCGAGCCAGTGGTAGATCCAATAGTGGCATGGCCTGACAGCTGCAGACTAGTTCGCTGTGCCAGGTGGGCCCTTCCTCCTATTCATCGTAGAAGGCGCACAACCGATTGGTTTTGTGACGAACTAATCACTTGTATACGGTATATACGTGTATGCAGCTGTATGCACTTGTGATCACTTGTGACTTTCAATTTACAGGCACTTGATGACTATCACGCTCAGGCCTGCTGCTTTAAAATGTTAGCCAGGTTCTTCACACACACACATATATATATATACACATGTGCATATATATATATATATATATACTGTATAATATAAATATGTCCTATCACCCTGGCCGTGTCAAGGTCATTGCAGCATTCTGACATTGCATTGTGCCACCAGGCGAGTGCAGGCTGGTCCTTTGAGCTCCGCTTAAGCAGTGAGTTTCAATGCCTGCCCGATATTTAAGAGTCTCGGGCGGTGCACATTTCAGGCACAGGGCGTCGCATTGATTGAGTTGAATTATGTTGAGTTTGTTAAGCTGTCATCCGCTTGAGAAGTGAAACGGAGTATACAATGCCCGCCGTCATCCTGTCCCTTTCCAAAGTGGCAGTTGCCACTGATGAATTTCTGAATGCTGTCACGAAGCATAGTTGGCAACATCTTTTTCGATTAGTCGGTGCTGGTGTGGAATATGAAGAATGGCCGACTTGCCCTATTGCTTCGGAAGCAAAAAATAGCCCGCATGCAGGGATTCGGCGGAAGGGGTTCCTTGCAGGTTGATTTCCATCTATGTCCACTATTGGTCAAGACCAGACAGCATAAACATGGGTAGATGAATATGCAATGTAAAAAATCATTCTGATTTTCACCCCTGGTACCCAGGTATTCTGAGCACCAGGATTCGGATATGTTTGCTATAATGTCCCAGTGATGTCGCTGGCGATTCATCTCTCAGGCTCATGGTTATCAAGGAGATCTTTGCCGGCGCAGTTGAAGAGCTGTCAGTGGGAGGAGTGTCAGCTGATGTCGGCTGTGACTGCTTGGCAAACCACTGGTAACGTCATGGAGGACAGACTTCTGATGAGGAGAAGCCAGCACAGGCGACGCCATCTTCAACCACTTCTTGAAGTGATCATTTGATTGTAAAACCATGTAAAACCATACGAATTGTTGCTGGTCACTGTGTATGATTGTGATGGATATGATGGTAGCTGTGCAGGCCAGGTTGGATGGCTTGTATGTCAGCAGCTTCTTAGTTCTTTGGGTAGCCATCGGGCTCGATATGCTGAAGGACACTCCCTGCACAGATTCACGGTGATATTCATGGGTCAGCTTTGCCATCCTTAGCCCATGAGCGTATGAACCGCATCTTTGAACTCCTTTAGTTGGAGGCCCTTGTATAGGTGCAAACACAGGCATAGGTGTACGCTAGGGCATTCATTTCGTCACGTTTGGGCGATCAAACATGGCAATGCTGGGCTCTTAGCAGGCTATGGCTGCAGCTTTCAGCACTTTTAAGTTTTAAGAACTTCGGCTTTTGTTTTTTTTTTTGTTATGCATTGGACATCCATGCCAGAGCTAAGGCGGGTACAATCGGTACAATCTGTCGATGATGTGGGTGCCCCTGAGAAGAAGGCAAACCCACAATTTCGGTCGTCTCCGAAGTCGTCCCCTGCTTGCATCTGCTTGCATTTACAGAATTTTACAGATGCAAAGAGACCGCTCAGCAGAAAGTGAATTGCCCGAGCTATGTGTGCTGAGTGATGCCGGCGGCCACTGATGGAATGTATATCAGTTGAATCCCAGATTCATGGGGCATAAGTGCGGACAAAAAAACACCAAAAAGCATTCTCACTTCATCTCACTTTGTGTCGCGCTTAGGAGAGCTTTCGAGGCACCACCGATGATTCCGCCTCCAGGTGGGAAACTTGCAGCACCATGCACCCACTCTCCCTCACCGGTTGACTGAGTTCAGCTCAGGCTCCATCCCCAGTGAGATGGTGGCGATTGAATTGCGCCTCGATCGGATTTTGGAGAAGGCCTTTATGGTGCTGTGGATGCCACGGGGAGCCTAAGGGAGCCAAACAGTGTTGTCAAACTGGACATGCAAAGACGTGAAAATGGATGGCTTAGTATCTACAGATGAATCATGATGAATCACAATAGATCCCAACAGATCCCAACAGATCGCAATGGATCCCGCTATATAATATATAGATCCCAATAGCACAAATACATACAAATACAATGTGAAGCATCAGAGAGATGAGGAGAGATTGATGTATGATTTGCAGTGTGCAGGTGGATGCTTGTTTGGCAGAACTTTCGGGCAAAGACAAAGTGCAGCCCGTGCCCACCCTGAAGCGGCAAGTCTCCTCTCTCAGTGGAAGAGGACCTGCGGCGGATCCCGTCCATTTTGGCGGTAGGCGTAGTGAGAATACGTGAGATGTGTAGAGAACTGCAGATGAGCTGCATCATCAGAGTTGCACAATTTACAGATCAATTTACAGAGTTGCACAATATACATCCGGTTGAATCAACCAGCTGCCCAGACGAGCCCAGGACAGGACGAGCTACCGCATGTGCCTAGTTCATCGTCGTTGCGTCAGCACATGGTTCCCTTCAACGTCATGGAAAAGGCTTCTTGTAAGCAGCAGGATGTGGGGGGAACATACGGGGTCTCTAGGTGTGGACATGTGTGGACACTGCTCAAAAAATCTTAGCCGGCAACTGTGCCACTCAAAAGTCCAAGCCAGCAACTGACTTTTTGAGGCCGAGCCAAGGGAAATGAACGATGAATCTTCCGCCCGATCCCAAGAAGGGTGCCGAAAATCCATTTGGCAGCCTGGTGAGCCATGGAAATTCATGACAATGTAGCTCAGATTGGTGGGTACTCGCTGGAGAGGACATAATCGCCCTCCTCAGGTTGTGCCCTTGCGGCCAAATCGAAAAGCTGGAAAGGCTCCTCTGAGAAGCACAGAGTGAGGTAGGAAAAACCATTAAAAACAAAATGCATGTACATTGTAATATATGTACATAATATTACATAATTATAATTGTAATTTAATGACATTAAATGAGCAGCGATCAAAACCCCCAAGAGGAGTTTAGTTAAACTCGTCAACTCCAATACCTTCGCAGAAGCTGGCACTGCAGTCGCGGAAGCCCCGCGAAAAGTCTCGCGGAACCTGTGTTTACCAGTCGCTTCGCGGAAGACCCGCGGAAGAGCATATATGATATAAAATGATTTTGGTCCACCAGGTGTAGGGCTTGAGTTTTCGTTGTTCATATCATTTCATATCCATATCGTAAAACCACTGTGATATACTGTGATAATCAGCTGCTGCAGTGCTGCTGCTCTCCAAGTTGGCACACCGCTACACAATGATTATACCAACCGTGTGCGATATTCCTGCCCCAGTTCAAATGGACATGTAAAGAACAAAGTGATGAACTTTAAAGTGAACAATACCGTCGCGGAAGCTCCGCGGAAGAGAAAGTCAACACAGATGCACCCGTGGAAGCCAAAACCCACACCGCGGAAGATGTGCGGAACCTTTCGCGGAAGCGAATGGGAGTATACAGGAATCGTCAGAGGGTTTTGAACACCGCCCAAATGACATTGTAGACATGACATGTGAACATGTGAACCCTCGGGAAGTGACGACAAATGGGTTCTCTTGGTTTCTCTTGCGCAAGGGAGGAGTTCAGTAGACTCAGTAGACTTAGACAGCCACTGCACTGTCGTCCTCTGAGGTTCGCAGTCTTGACCTAAGACTGGCCTCGCAGCTTATCGACCCCGGTGTGGCTTCGCGGCGCTTGGATACATGCAAAGATATGCAAAGCTTTCTTTGCAGACACCATAGAATTCCACATCCTGATGTACGGGATGCCTTGCCTTCTTGCAAACAGTTTGGTATTGTGCAGTATTGATCAATATTATATATTATTATATAAATTTAATATTATACATGTGTATGCATCGAGAGGGCCATTCTAGGTGTCAGTCAATTTACATCAACTCTTCACGATGTTTCAGTTTTTTGTATGTTTTGACAATTTTTGACAGGTTTTGACGTTTGCATCATCCCAGGACATCCCACAACTTCAAATCTGCGCCGCCCAGCTGCAAGAACCAAGGCTTTCGCTGGCGGGTGCCATAACTGGTGCCATGGGGGACGGGCGAAAACAAGCGAGCGAGGTCGGGGTCGTTGCGAGCGAGTTTGGGAAGTCTTGGAGGATCCACACTCGAGCAGATGCTTGGGCTGCAGTCAACCTGTTAAGTGGCTTTGTCTGAAAATAGTTGAAAATCGGGTACCCTTAAGAATGATGGGGTAGATTCAGATTCGTTTCCCCATGATACTCCATTTTCAGACGCACCAAACCATTCCCTTTGAACACGTCTTGGGGGGTACTAGCGAAGCTCACTCTCAGGAGCTGCTTGGTGGATTTCACAGACGATGAAGGAAGCTTGTCATTGGGAAGTGTGGTCACGATTAGTCACGCAAGTGCATGACATTACTGTACCGCAAGTGGTTTTGCTTCGAGACGTTGTCAGTCAAAACAATATTTCACCCCCAGCTGGAGTAATTAAACCTGATTTGTTTGTAGAGGTGACGGGTTTGGGCTTGACATCGCAATCATCTCCCCAATCTACAGCATGTCTGTCAAATCTCGCTTGCGCCAAGGTGATTGTGATCCTGAGTGTTTTCGTGACAAATATGCAGCTTAGCCAGGAGCCTGAGTGCTGACACAGTTCCAACATCAGTTGAAAAAAAACATGCCCTCATTTTGGAGAACAGGAGCCAATCACCTATGGACAAACGTTCGCCTTTTTGGAGACAACATTCGATCTCATCTTTTTTCTTGAGCTCCTCAGTTGCAGTCTGGAAGCATGAGCTGTAGTACTACCAAGTTACCAGTATTACCAGTATTTTGCTGAAACTTGTGCTACTTGGATGTGAAGTGATGCACGCTTCTAGGATCTTCTAGGCATCCTTTGGATCCCGATCCATTCGAAAGCTTTAGCCATCTCAGTCGAGGTTCTTGTGCCGGATCTTCTCTGCACCATCCAAGAAGGAATACATCAAGGATGCCTTCAACTGGGCAGATGTGGCATCAGCCATGGGGCTGCTCCTGCGCGTTTCCTGTCCACTTATCAGACTGTTATCCACCAGCAATTTGAGATAGATATTATACATATCGGCTTGGAACATCCACCATTTAATTTATAACTACGTACTATGTATGGTTTTTCCGTGCCGAAACCATGGGCTTTTCATATTTATGTGGGTATGGGATGGTATGGGCAACTTTTTGCACAGCAATCAACGCACTCACTTGACAATCGTCAGTATTCAACCGTCTGGGGTGTTGATAATTTGTATATATAATAATTTATAACAGTTTTGGGTGGTCCATATCATCCACTAATTTTAATATCAATGACAATGACCCATGCATCCGTTATCATCCATTATTCATTATTTACTGTTGTATTGCAATCATCCATTATCCATGCATTAGAGTACCACGAATAATCATGATCCATGTCATACCATATCATATCATACCATACCATATCATATCGTTTCATATCATATCATATCATATCATATCATATCATATCATCCATCATCACCCAATAATCATTTGTATCATCCACTAATATACCTCAGTTATAAACCATTATTCGTAGATTTCATCGTTTTGAGCCACAGCCATGAGCTTCTCAGGTTAGCATCGGCTTGGTCATGGAGGAGCCAACAGAGCCAGCTGCTGGACCAAAAGGGCCCATGGACATGTAGGATGGCTTGGGTTACAGTAAGATACAGTAAGTATGTTCATGCTATATGGTGGATATTGAAAAAACATAGCTCTTAGTCACCTATACGCAATTTTATGATCTTTGATGATATCTTAATATAGTTAATGACTGATCTGATCAGTCATTATGTTGTATTGTATGTATTGTCTTGTCTTGTTGTGTTGTAGTGTTTTTTTTGGAACACACATGCAACCACCAATAAATACATCAATCGAGCAACATCTCAGGCACGGGCCACGATTCAAGCATCTTGGTGGCTGCTGTTTCCATCATGTGGAAGAGAATTTATCATTTTTCTGGCGATGGAATGGGATATAATTGCTGGATATTGCTGGGATAGAGAGTGGGATATGAAAACCACTTAGATTTTTCAGAGATTGAAGTATGGTTCTTCAGACAATGGCTCACTGGTGGTTCGAGTGGTTTTGTTTTCCCAGGATTCCCCCAGAAAAGGTGACTACCACTATGGGGTATCCCCACAATTCCAAACCACCAGTTCACCATTGGCTGAACTATCGTCAAATGGCTGGCATGGCTTGAGAGTCTACCGAAAAGCTAAGGCGATTCTGCTTTTTGTTCTGCCAACTGTTCGCTTTCTCAAGTTGCTGCGCTATTTTGAAACCATCCGGCTCTTGATCGATCCTTGGACAGGAATTGGCTAGATGTTGGAATCCGAGATCATTTCACCCTACTTTCTGGACCTAGAGCTCAAGGGTCGGTATTGTCTACAGCCTTGCATGCATTTGAAGGGCTGGGCAAGAGTGAAATCCAAGGATGCCTTCCGCAAATCGATCTTTGGATGCAATCTTTTGCAACGGTCGCTGTTTCCTTTCATTTCGTGATTCATGTTTCCCCTTTGTCTTGTTGTGCCAAGCTTCAATGTTTTTATTTTTTGTTTCTGAGTCTGAGGCTTGATGCTTTGCCGGTGCTAATGTACACGTGCCATGGCTGAACTCAGCTGTCTTCATGTCCACAGAAAATCGGATGACAGTTCGCTGAAGCATAGCATTGATATTTCTTTTGCCATTTGGTGATATTTTGTGCCAATTTGTCACTGCTGAAGGATGGCTCTCATGGTGGTGCTTTCTTCCACTGCTCTTTACCTATTGGAGTCCAGGACATGGATTCTGTCAGCTCTTGCCAGCTATGGTCAGCTGTTGAAATCATCAGCCATTGATCCCACAGACACTGCAGGACCAACATTCCCAGTAGCTAGGTTGCATGTCAAGATAGATTGATTTTGCAGAGGAATGTGGTTGAGAGCCACTCGTTGCGCAATTTCTCGTGTAGCCAAGGTATTCAGTACTCAATCTGGCTTTGCGCGGTCACCATGACGACAGTGGGTTACCCACTTAGTCGGGCGTGCGCGTTGGCCGTAGGCTGTAGGAAATGGAATGTCTGACCTTCTGGTGGAACCCCACCATTCGTAAAAAATACTCGCGCAAGATGGAACCGACAGATGAAGCATGAGAACATCGCAGCAAAGAGGTAAAGCCAGGGAAAGTGCAACATCACCTACCCATCTTCTATACATTAATTATACATGAACTTGTTTTTTCTCCCATGTCTTCGTCCCAAACAGAATGCACTGGCCCATGCCACTGTAACTAACTTAATTAGACAATGACATACAATGACTATGAATGCCAACACCCTGTCGACTAAGGTTACGGAGATGTGGTGCCAAAATCGCTTGGTGGCTACATTGTTGCGCCCCTTGATGTGACATCAATCCACTGATGGAGCTGACTAGTGTGAATATGTGTGAATACCGTTGCAGATCTCGTTGAATCTTCTCCAAGCATCTGAGATGCACGAGTTTCGAAATGTTTCGAATGTCTATAATGTCTTGACTCTTGACAGGTTCACAATTGAAGGTCTGAACTGAACGGGTTCTTTTTTTTCATCTTTTTACAAAGCAGTTGCAAAGATGTAACATGCTACCTGGCAGCATCACGGAAACCGGAGGTCCATTCTGACCATTGCCAGCGTGCTGTTCCTTGCAATGCCAGCAGCTGTCCTGCAAGGAGGTTTCTCATCAGACAGGCCCCCACAGTGATGCAAGCAGCAGAATTTGGAAGAGTATCATAGAATCTGTGAAACCAAGGTGGGTATTATCGGACACGAGTTCACGATATGCTGGCAGGGCCGTGATGAATTATTGAGTGTGACACGTGCTCAAAAAGCATTGCTGAAATGGGGCTATGCGGTGGAGGACGTGCACTTGGCAGCATGGCTTTTTCCTTTGGGCTGTGAACGGGTGCGACTTTGCATGATTTAGCATCAGATGCTGTGTCAACATGTCAGATTATATTATAATGTTTGATCACATTTGTTTATTCTCAGCTACGAAGTTGGCATTCGGCACTTGTGGATCTTGTGGGATATCCCGAGGTGCGATCATTACTGGAATATGTTGATGATGATGGAGATGGACTGCTTGATTTTTCGGAATTCTTAGGGTGGACTCACCAGCGCTTCAGTGCTTGAGCTGTGTCGACAAGTCTAGGGGTCAGCAGAAGCTCAGAAATGAGCACATAGCAGCAAGATGCAGCAAGTCATGAAGCACTTGAAGCGCTTTGAAGCACCAATGGATATCCAACCTGCACCCAGTCAGTGCACCCAGTGCACCCAGGTTGTTTACGGAAATGCGGATTGGACTTCGTGCTGAAGCTTGGAGCCAACCCTGGCTACCCCCATCTCCCAACATTGCTCAACAGTGTCCCATACGGCTCCCATGGCTTCCACAGATTTGCTGCGCACTGGACAGCCAGTAGCTATGATATCTATGATGTTTGTAGTCGTACCAAATCCACCAAGCCAAACATCGAGTGGTTTTTTGCCTCCGAGGACACAATGACAACACTATTCAAGATGCGCCTTGCTGGCACTGAGCTCTGCCACTGCGAACTCTTCAGATCAGGAGGACCTCAACCTTTCATGACCTGCTAGAAGCTAGCCACGATTCAACAGCCAAACGATCCATATCGATCCATGCTCCTGGAATTGCCGCTGGCAATGCTAGGTGCGACAGCGATCAGACTGGCCATATAGACTACACAGAGCAGCTTGGAGCAGTTTTGCCAGTCGGAGCCGGACTGTTTGCACATATTTTGCACATGAATGTTCATAGCTCCGGGACACAAACGCAAGGTTCTTGCAGCACGTTTTTCCAATGGAAACGATTGAGGAGCACAGCAGTCACTGGTGCTTCGCTGTTGCGCAATAGGCTTTTTCATGCTTTTTCAATTCTTCACCCAACGTGTGGAAATCTTTGGATCTGCGAGGAGACCAGGAGGAGAGTCTCAAAGAAATACCGCGAATCGGGCAGAAAGGCCCGAGAATGACATTGTGACGGCACAGGGATGCACAGGGTGACATTTCCATCATGTCCATTTACTAGTCTTGGAGCTGACCAAAAATGGGGAACACCATGTCATGTAATACGCAAAATTGAGATGTTGAATGATTTTGATAAACTTTGATGATATTTGATGTATTGACTTCAATATCTTCAATGGGGAAAGATCACAAACCATTTTTTTTTTGAGACCAATTTCGTGGTTAGTTTCACGTTGATGCAGCTGACTCAACAAAGGTATATACACATCCTTCATTTCTGTGCCCAGGTGAGTGTAGCCCTGAAACGGATGAACACTGCTCAGGACTTGCACACCATATCCGCCACTTGGACGCACTTTGTTCTTTTCAGTGGATCAGGGATCAGGTAACGCTGTGTTCCAAAAGGCTTTCTGTCGAGTGCTTCCTATTATTTGCGTTTGCAATTCCACCAAGGAAGCCAGATTGTACCAATCCACAGCTCATGATGTGCCAAAATACGTGCGCTGATCTCGCATCCGATGAATCCCACAGCGCTGCCAATTTCAAGGTCAAAACGGCCTCACAGTAATTTATACTTCGGTTTGAATAGATTGGTGGCACACCACAAGAAGACAGGAGCGTTTTGTTCAGGTCAGACTTGAGTTGGTTTGACATCTTTGTTCCCTGATTTTTATCACCATTTTGCAGTTTACTCGGCAATGCCGTGCTGGCAGCACTACAGAAACACGCAGATGATGCACGAAGTGCATCTCTGTCAGATGCAGCTATACCATGGTGTACCATGATATTGCTGTTCCCCTAGATGCATGCGGAGGTATGCGGTTCTGCACTTGCAGACTGCTTTTTTTTTCCCAAAAGCATCTTCGATGCTTGGGTTCTCGTTTAGTTGTTTAACCGCGTGGGGGAGCGACCTGGCTCGAACGGTGGTGTGCGGACGGCGTGGGTGCAAGGGAAAGGAAAGGAAAGGAAGGGAAAGGAAAGGAAAGGAAGGGAAAGGAAGGGAAAGTAAAGGAAAGGAAGGAAAAGGAAGGGAAAGGAAGGGAAAGTAAGGGACAGGAAGGGAAAGGAAGGGACAGGAAGGGAAAGGAAGGCGCTGGTGATGAGCGACCTTGGCTGCGCGGACGGCTGCGGACGGCAAATGGGTGCGGAGAACTGCGCGGATGGCTGCGGACGGCGTGGGTGCAAGGAAGAAGTTGGAAATGGGTGGGGAGAAGAAGCCGCTGGTGATGAGCGACCTTGGCTGCGCGGACGGCTGCGGACGGCAAATGGGTGCGGAGAACTGCGCGGACAGCTGCGGACGGCGTGGGTGCAAGGGGGTGGCTGGAAATGGGTGGAGAGAAGAAGCCGCTGGGGATGAGCGAGCTTGGCTGCGCGGACGGCTGCGGACGGCAAATGGGTGCGGAGAATTGCGTGGATGGCTGCGGACGGCGTGGGTGCAAGGGAGTGGCTGGAAATGGGGGAGAAGAAGAAGCCGCTGGTGATGAGCGGACGGCAAATGGGTGTGGAGAACTGCGCGGACGGCTGCGGACGGCGTGGTTGCAAGGGGGTGGCTCGAAATAGGTGGGGAGAAGAAGCCGCTGGTGATCAGCGACCTTGGCTGCGCGGACGGCTGCGGACGGCAAATGGGTGCGGAGAACTGCGTGGACGGCTGCGGACGGCGTGGGTGCAAGGGGTGGCTGGAAATGGGTGGGGAGAAGAAGCCGCTGGTGATGAGCGACCTTGGCTGCGCGGACGGCTGCGGACAGCAAATGGGTGCGGAGAACTGCGTGGACGGCTGCGGACGGCGTGGGTGCAACGGAGTGGCTGGAAATGGGTGGGGAGAAGAAGCCGCTGGTGATGAGCGACCTTGGCTGCGCGGACGGCTGCGGACGGCAAATGGGTGCGGAGAACTGCGCGGACGGCTGGGGACGGCGTGGGTGCAAGGGAGAAGTTGGAAATGGGTGGGGGGAAGAAGCCGCTGGTGATGAGCGAGCTTGGCGCGCGGACGGCTGCGGACGGGAAATGGGTTGGAAATGTTTGCGGAGAGCTTCGCTGGGAGGGGGCGAGACAGCATGCTGGACATAACAAAACCGTGGAAATAGCTTGGGGAGAGCTTCGCTGGGAGGGAGCGAGACAGCATGCTGGACGGAGAGGAAATCGTGCAAATAGCTTG